GATTGTTCCAAATGAAAGTACATTAAAGAGACATGAGTGACAACTAAACACAGGCTTGTTCCTGGCTTGGATCCTGAGCCAGAAAAAATATCCAGTATGTGATCTATTCTGGAGAATATAGAATAATCTCTTACCTTTTTCTGTCTTTTTTTTTTTTTTTTTTTGTACCTTGAGATTTTTGAAGAATACAGACTGATTATTTTGTAGAATGTCCTTCAGTTTGGGCTTGTGTAGTGTTTCCTCATGATTAGGTTCAGGTTATGTATTTTTGGCAGGAGTATGACAGAAATGATAAATAATGTGTCCTTTTCTGAGCATTATGTCAGGAGGCACATGATGTCAGCTTATTCTAACACTGATGATGAAAACTTTGATCACTTTGGGTCTTCCAGGGTTCTCCTCAGGAAAGTTACTGTTTTACCCTTTCTAAATAATGACTAATTTGTGGGAGATTCTCTGAGATTATATAAATATCTTTTCCCCAACAAACCTTTTTCCCACTAATTTTTGTATCCATTGATAATTTGCAACTTTATTATTGCTTTCCTATTTATTGACATTCTACTAAAAAAAAGAGATTTCTCACTTCTATTTATCTATTTGTCTATTCATCTATCTCTTATATCAATAAAACTCATGTATTTTTTTTTAAGATTTTATTTATTTATTTGAGAGAGAGAGAGAGAGAGAGCACAAGCAGGGAGGAAAGACAGAGGGAGAGGGGGAGGGAGAAGAAGATTCCCCGCTGAGCAAGGAGCCCAAAGTGGGACTGGATCCCAGGATCCCAGGATCATGATCTGAGCCCAAGGCAGACACTTAACTGACTGATCCACCCGGGTGTCCCCATGTATTCTTGTTTTATTCTACAGGTGTCATCTGTTAGTATTGTTCATTCAGATGCTTAAATTGTCCTATCTTTGGCCAGTGATTTTAAACTAGCTCCTGTGTCCTTTTGCTATTTTCCCATCTTACCTGAGTATTTCCTTACTTTCTGGCACATATTATTTTAGGTTCATCTTGTTCTTTTTTTGACCAAGCCCTGGAATCAACTTTTATCCAAGTAGCCACTATTCCATTTCAAAGAAATGGTATTTGAAGTCAAGATCTGGACAGTAGATATACTCATTCCTTGCTACTGGTGTATTATTACTTCTAGGCCTTCTCAGCAGACAGCAGTAAACATATGTCTCCATTTGTTTCTATATATTTGCATCTATGTATTTAAAACCATGAGATGTTGGTCAAAGGGTACAGAGTTGCAGTTATATAGGATGAATACATCTAGAGTTCTTTTTTTTTATTTTATTATGTTATGTTAATCGCCATATATTACATCATTACTTTTTGATGTGTTGTTCCATGATTCCTTGTTTGCATATAACACCCAGTGCTCCATGCAGAATGTGACCTCTTTAATACCCATCACCAGGCTAACCCATCCCCCCACCCCCCTCCCCTCTAGAACCCTAAGTTTGTTTCTGAGTCCATAGTCTCTCATGGTTCGTCTCCCCCTCCAATTTCCCCCCCTTCATTTTTCCCTTCCTACTATCGATTTCTTTCTTTTTTAACATATAATGTATTATTTGTTTCAGAGGTATAGGTCTGTAATTCAACAGTCTTACACAATTCGCAGCGTTCACCATAGCACATACCCTCCCCAATGTCTATCACCCAGCCACCCCATGTCTCCCACCCCCCACCACTCCAGCAACCCTCAGTTTGTTTCCTGAGATTAAGAATTCCTCATATCAGTGAGATCATATGATACTTGTCTTTCTCTGATTGGCTTATTTCGCTCAGCATAATACCCTCCAGTTCCATCCACGTTGTTGCAAATGGCAAGATCTCATTCCTTTTGATGGCTGCATAATATTCCATTGTGTGTGTGTGTGTGTGTGCACATACCACATCTTCTTTATCTATTCATCTGTCAATGGACACTCTTTCCACAGTTTGGCTGTTGTGGACATTGCTGCTCTAAATATCAGGGTGTACATACCCCTTCAGATCCCTACATTTGTATCTTTGGGGTAAACATCCAGTAGTGCAATTGCTGGGTCATACGGTAGCTCTATTTTCAACTTTTTGAGGAACCTCCATACTGTTTTCCAGAGTGGCTACACCAGCTTGCATTCCCACCAACAGTGTAGGAGGGTTCCCCTTTCTCCACATCCCCACCAACATCTGTCGTTTCCTGACTTGTTAATTTTAGCCATTCTGACTGGTGTGAGGTGGTATCTCATTGAGGTTTTGATTTGGATTTCCCTGATGCCGAACCATGTTGAGCACTTTTTCATGTGTCTGTTGGCCATTTGGATGTCTTCTTTGGAAAAATGTTCATGTCTTCTGCCCATTCCTTGATGGGATTATTTGTTCTTTGGGTGTTGAGTTTGGTAAGTTCTTTATAGATTTTGGATACTAGCCCTTTATCTGATATGTCCTTTGCAAATATCTTCTTCCATTCTGTTGGTTGTCTTTTGGTTTTGTTGACTGTTCCCTTTGTTGTCCAAAAGCTTTTTATCTTGATGAAGTCCCAATAGTTCTTTTTTGCCCTTGCTTCCCTTGCCTTTGGTGATGTTTCTAGGAAGAAGTTGCTGCAGTTGAGGTCTAAGAGGTTGCTGCCTGTGTTCTCCTTTAGGATGTGGATGGACTCCTGTCTCACATTTGGGTCTTTCAACCATTTTGAGTCTATTTTTGTGTGTGGTGTAAGGAAATGGTCCAGTTTCATTCTTCTGCATGTGGCTGTCCAATTTTCCCAACACCATTTGTTGAAGAGACTGTCTTTTTTCCATTGGACATTCTTTCCTGCTTTGTTGAAGATTTAGGATGAATACATCTAGAGTTCTAATGTATAGCCTGATGACTATAATTAACAATACTTTATGGGATACTAGAAATTTGCTGAGAGTAGATTTTATTTATTTATTTATTTATTTTAAGATTTTATTTATTTATTTGACAGAGAGAGATAGCGAGAGAGGGAACACAAGCAGGGGGAGTGGGAGAGGGAGAAGCAAGCTCCCTGCAGAGCAGGGAGCCCGATGCGGGGCTTGATCCCAGGACCCTGGGACCATGACCTGAGCGGAAGGCAGACGCTTAACGGCTGAGCCACCCAGGCGCCCCGAGAGTAGATTTTAGATGCTTTCATCACACACACAAAAAGGTAACTGTTGAGCTGATATGTTAATTAGCTTGACTATAGTTATCATTTTTATGTATATGTACACAAATCATCATATTGTACACCTTAAATATATACAATTTTTATTAAAAAATAAAATAAAAACTATGAGTCCATACTGATACCTCTAATTCTAATCTCAAACCACAGGATACATTATTTTCTTCCCATTTCCGTATTCGTAACTCTCTCTACCATCAGTGAGAAATCTGGCTTTCCATTGTGTTCAACATATATATTTATTGGCTCAACTTGGAACCCACAGAAGGTAATTTCATCATCCTTCCAGTGTCTCTATAACTGTCCTGAGGAAGGACTCCAGTTGGAACTGCTTCAGTCACATGCCCACTCTCTAGGCTGGTCACTGTTTGTGTGGGGGGGTAGCTCAGGAACTCTGCATAATCGCATCCAGGCCTACCCTGTGGCCTTGAACTGAAAACAACATGGCCCAAGGGAAGGACAGCTCTGCAAAGATAGGCTTCGGGGAGTTCCAGATAGCATATGTCCTGCCAAGCTTCCTATTTTAAAAAAATTTTTTTTTTTTTTTTTTTTAAGCTTAGGATTTAGTTATCTTTCACTGAACTGCTAATTAAATATATTCAGGGGCAAGCAAAGCTAGGTTTCAATTCAGCTTATCTAAAACTAGAGTGTAAATTAATTTGATATTTTGAAGAACTAAAGTGTGTTCAGATTATATGAGCATAAGGATACCTCATCCAAGATCAAAGTGTAACACATCAAAGTCCATCATAATGTGAATGATGCTGAATAAAGTAGAATAGCAGTTAGATTTTTTTCACTGTGACATCCCTCCACTTTCTTCAAATTCTAATGAAAACATTCTATTGTCAGTACCTCAATATAATAAACCACCGGGAGAGGAACTGTGGTTCAGTGATTAGGACAAGATTTATATACTCAGAGTACTTAGTAATTTTCCAGAGCTTATAAAGCAAGGCTGATGATGTTCACCACACAGGATTAATTGACAAAGAAGCAGCGGTCCTTATTGGAAATCATTAAGTACCTCAAGGCTTGCGTTTGAAGAAAACCTGAGACTTCATTGTAGACAAATGACTATCTCAGCCAAAGCTCCCTACTTGTATTTTCTTTGAAGTTGGCCCCTCGGAGAGCCTTGAAATGATAATGTAATCGACAACATATCTGATTTTCCTGGGTTGGACTCACTAAAGGAATCTGACATGAAAAGTAGTATTTCATACAGGCTTTTATCTAAGCTTAAAAAGGTGATCATTAGTGGACAGAGATGGAGGAGCTCTACAAATGATAAACCCTGAGGTTATTTCCCTGTTGTGGAGAGGACCCAGCTTACCCTCCCCCCGCAACCCTGACTGTCTTGCTCAACATTCTCCTTGGTTCAGCTTGGCTTTCCCTGCTCTTTCCACTGTGTACAAAAGCCCTCCTTCATTGCTGCCATTGCTCTCCCATCATTTGGGTATTATAATCCCGTTACTTTTCAGATTTAGGTGTGGACAACTTCATGGTTCCTTGAGACAGCTTTTCAAAACAAAGTTTTACTAATGAGCAATGAGGGAGGGAGGGAAGGGACACACAAAAGCTTGAAAATTGAGATGTTTATAAATTCAGCTTTCTGATCCTATTTTTTTTTCTGATCCTATTTTTAGGGATCTAGTCATAAGTTGGATTACTATAAAATAGGAACATCCAACTACTATTACCTTTTCCCTACTTAAGATCTGTTTTCTTTGTTCTTTGTGGCTATATGACACAATGGTAGTTGCTGTCTTAAAGCTCTCAGTGAGCTATTATTTCCTTCCATTAAGAAAAGTTGACTTCAGTGTTTGCTTCCGCAGTACGTATACTAAAATTGAAGTAATACAGAGAAGCTAACATGGTCCCTGTGTAGACAGACATACAGGCTCATGACGTGTTCCATATTTTTCAGTAATCTACAGCACAGTGACTATAGTTAATAATATAGCATTGCATATTTGAAAATAGGTAGGAGAGTGGATTCTGATATTTCTCATTATGAGAAAAAATTTTGTAATTGTGCATGCTAATGGATGTTAACTGGACTTACTGAGGTGAATATCTTGCAATGTATACAAATATTGAATCATTACATTGTACATGTAAAACTAAATATAATGTTATGTCAATTGTATCTCAATTTAAAAAAAAAAGGAAGGGGGGGGAGAAGTTGACTTTCTCTTCTTTTCCCATTTCAAATGTCATTCTCTTTTGTAGAGCACCTGGATTTCTCTTTTATATTAGAGTCTCCCTCTCCTTTTCATGTATGATTGATGGGTTGTGGCTGTCTACAGTGTTGTATTGAGAAGGCATCTGGGGGTGATTTTAGGTTCCACAGGAAAGAGAACTATGATTAATTAATAATGTCTGCTGTAAGCTTGAAGAGTATCTGTATGGTTGCCATATATCTGTCATTTCTCTCTTAATCCCATTGATGGTAAAGTATTTGTTTTGATTTGATTTTTGTTTCTACTCAGGTTATCAGCATTGGGAATTCCAATGATTCTTTTTTTTTTTTTCCCACTTATCCCTCAAATAGTGATGTGGTGGTGGAGGACACATCTAAGTATGTACTAAAATTATGAAAAAGTATGTACTTTTCTCCCTGTCTAATTTAAAACCCCCTAAAGAGTGAGCAGATTCTCTCTAGAGTGTGAGGCATTCAACATACAACAAAAACAAAATAAATACTTAAGAGGGATTTTTTTCTTTTTTAAAGATTTTATTTATTTATGTGAGAGAGAGAGTGAGAGAGAGAGAGAGAACACGAGCAGGGTGAGGGGCAGAGGGAGAAGCAGACCCCCTGCTGAGCAGGGAGCCCGATGCCGGACTTGATCCTGGGACTCCAGGATCATGATCTGAGCCGAAGGCAGACGTTTAACTGACTGAGCCACCCAGGCACCCCTTAAGAGGGCTTTTTAAAAAAATGATTCATCCTGTTAAATCATTTTGATTTCTCACCAAATGATGAAGGAAATATTGAAGCTTAAAATATAAAATGTACATTGATATTCCTGTTCCACCCCCACATACACATACTTTTTCTAGTATTGCCTATTCTCTGATGTTTTGGACAATTTAATTTCAAATGAATCAAGCAATAGGATATTTAGTGTTTCCTCAGGAAAAGAACTGCACATTTATAAAATTATTACTGTTACAGTTCCCCCAGGTATGCTCTTTTGGTGACTGTTTTAAACTTCATATTCATAGCCGTTGCATTTTATTTAATTCCTTTGTTTTCTTCACACATAAACTCTTGAGTTTTAAGAAGAAATGTTTCTTTACTTTTAACTCAAATTATAATTAAGAGTAACATCCAGTGAGACAAATGGAAGTTTTCTTTGCTCACTGTTGAGTTTCCGAAGTTCGGTTTAGCCTTAAACTACTAAAAACTTAAAGGGTTAGCATTAGGTGGGAGAATTTGGATTGAAGTCTTTGCTCTGGTGTTCAGGAACATGAAATGTTTTAGGATTTTTGCACTGTACTCTGGGGAGCCTTGAGGCCTCTGGGGCCAATTCTAGTAGTCCCCAAAGACTGATGTTTTGTTCATGCATACATTCCTTCATTTATTGACATTTATTCAACAAACTTTTGAATATTCAGTATATGCAATTAGTCTGGGGGGTTACAGGGAGCCCATTTTCACAATGTGTTACGGTGTCAAAGACTGAAGAGTAGTAAGCATGTGGCCCACATGAAATAAAGGTTATTCCCAGTGATGTGGGAACTCATGGAAGGGAAATATCCAGATTGGGGATGAAAGGGAAGCCTTTGTAGAGGAGCTGAAGGATGAATAAAGGTTATCCACGAAGTCCAGGCAATGAGAACAACCCTTTGTGAAACTTCAGGCTCTTTTCGAGGTACTTTAAGAAACTGCTTTCTAAAAACAGATTTAGGCTCCTGGAATTTATCCTGGAGCTAAAAAATGATCTACACTAGATCCCCTGCATTCTCGGACTTAGAGCACTGATTCTCTTGTAAGCACCGCAGTTTGATCCATTCTTCAAGGAAGAGGTGGTATGCTGCAGAGCGAGGGCCAGAGGCTGAACTAGTTTTCACTCACTAGTTTTCTTTTGTTAGCAGTTAACCTTACCCCAAGCTACTAAGGTTTAATTCTTTCAAGTGTTTCTTGTGTATTTTTTTGTAAATATGCATTGTCTTAATCTGCTCTGGCTGCCATGACAGACTATCCTAGACTGGGTGGCTTAAACAACAGAAATTTATTTTCTTACAGTTATGGAGGCTGAAAGTCCGAGCTCAAGGTGCCAAGATGGTCAGATTCTGGAAAGGTTTTCTTGGCTTGCGGAAGGCCACTTTTTCGGTGTGTGCTCATATGGCCTTTCCCTGTGCCTTCTCATGGAGAGAAAACAACAGAGACAGAGAAAGAGAGAGAGAGAGAAATGTCAAGTCTGAAATTACCTAAACATTTAGAAGATTAAAAAGAGTTTTAAGTTCTAAATCAGGCAAACAATTGCAGTTATGGAAGAAATGTTCTGGGAAATAATAAAAATTAAAATAAACCTATAACTTTATAGACTAACTGTGACATATCCCATGATCAGGTTGTTCAATTAACATCCTGTGGCAGAGCTATTTTATTTTATTTTTTGCTTTGTCAAAGAATGTCAGATCTGCAAGAATATACGTACATGTCTTCTAGTGCCATGGAACTTAATATATATATATTTTTAAAAGATCTTATTTATTTATTTGAGAGAGAGACAGAGTGACAGAGATAGCAACAATGATAGTGAGAGAGCACGAGCAAGGAAGAGAGGGAGAAGTGGGCTCCCTGGAGCCCGACACAGAGCTCGATCCCAGGACCCTGGGATCATTACCTGAGCCAAAGGCTGACACTTAACTGACTGAACCACCCAGGGACCCAGGAACTTAACATTTTTAAATGAGAGAAAAAACTGTAATAAATATTTTGCCTTTCAGGATTTTCTTCACTAAGGAGAATACACAACAATGCATATATACCCATCCACACACACACACATACACAAGCACACGCACACGCATGCGTGTGTATGCACTCATATATGCACATACACTATTTCATTCCGTGTGCATATTTTTGTTGTGTGAACCATTACCTATAGAAAGGCTATATGCTAGCATTTAGACATACAGCCCAATAAAATATACTACTGCTTGACAAACCATCATGTTAGCAACAGCTACAGAACAGCTTTAAAAAAAAAAGGTTAGAATTTGATAAATATTGACTATCTGTAGTTATATGTGGTATACAGTGAAATCACATTCATTTTGCAAAGGAATCAGGTTCTCATGTCAACCCCAAAGGTGACAATTTGATGTGAACAAAATTACTCTTGAAAGTCACATAAATCTCTCACAAATTGCAGCATTTTACCAAATCTGCCAGTTTTATTTTTGTTTTCTGCCCTAGCAATAGAACAAATCACTGTTCTTTGACGGAACAATGGGAGTACCTGTTGGTGTTGAGGGACCGCGCGGTGTGAAATCACGTGTACTCTGAAACTCTGGGGCCACATTTGCACAGTGAGAGACTCACCCCACCAGAGGCTGAGGGAAAGGACCATGGCTGCAAGAAGGCACCTCCCCCTTGTCCCGGGAGCACGCGTTCACTGAGTGTCACAGAGGCCATGTGGTGGAATTGTCATGCTATCCAAGTTGTTCTCTCTCCCTTCTCCTTCTCTCGAGCTCCCTCCTTTGTCATTCTCTCGTGTTTGCTGAACATATGTAGTCATATAGTCCTGTAGTCATGCAATATGCTATTGCAACTCTATGGCATATCACATTCTGTACCTGTTTTTGTTTCTGTGCTTGTTTATTTATCTCTGTTGAAATGAAGTCACATATATAAGTACTTATGAGTGTGCTGTTTGACTTTTAGAAAATTCTGCTAGGAGCATGAATTTCATCTCTGATTGCACCATGTAATACTGTTGCATTCCCAGCCTATCTGATTGCAAAAAGGATACACAAACCAGTTTCCACCACTGAAAAATAATTCAAAGCTACCAGCCCATCAAATGATGGGAACTTCCTAAGCCCCAGCTTGGCACAGTTATCATTACTAAAGCTTTTTCCTAAGATTGATTTGAAGACACCAGTTAACTTATCAGTTCTGTTTTTATTTTAGTTTAGAGTAACCATTTATTTATGTTATTGCTGTGTTGTCATTGTTATATGGATTTGCTAAACACTTAAGTTGAGAGTTCTATTTTGTAATCTCCTGTACTACTCAGCTGCCATGTCCTAACCACGGGGAAAGTACTTTCCCAGTGGAAATTCAGTTAAATCATTCTCTGAGAATTTCAATAAACTGTATTTTTCTTCATGCTAAACCACAATTGATTACATGTATTTCCTGCCAAGGCTAAAAAGTGTAAATTTTGAATATTGTATTGTTTCATGAAAGGCAGTTTCAGGTTCCTTTAGGTTTGATGATTTTGACATTGTGTTTAAGTACAATGTTCATGTTAATTGACGTCTTCTATGTTAAAGGAAAAAAAAATCAGGGTCTTAAAGTATACAATCTTCTTTAAGGCATTAAATGCAATTTAGGAAGTTCAAAATATTATTTGTAGGAATTCTATTGTGGTTGTCACATAGCTTATTCATTGATTCAACAATTGTTTCCTGAATACCAAATAAGCACTCTTAAAAGCACTGGGTATACTATAGTGAGGAAAAGCAAGTCCTTGACCTTGTGAAGTTTATGGTCTCCTGGAAGGATAATTGGCAGTGAACAGCTAAAGAAATAACAATTTAGTTAAGTTTCAGGAAGACAGAGGCCAGAGTTGAGTGACGGAGAATAGCAACAGGGGAACTGATTCACTGGGTGATTCGTAAGTGTATAGGCTGAGACTTAAAGAATGAGAAGGGGTCAGGTATGTAAAGAGCGTGAGATGGAGTAGCCACTGCAGAAATCAGCAAGTATCAAGATTCAAGGCATAACGGGGCTTGGGTGTTTCCAGAACTGAAAGGAAGCTGGTGTCGTTGCTTACATCAGAGCCTGTGTGTGTGTGCGTGCACACACACACGCGCACGCATGCACGTGTGTTGGAGTGGGGGAAATGACGAGGAGGTGGCATGAGGTTAGATGAATCAGTAAACAGGTGCCAAATGACTCAGAGCCTTACAGGTCATAGTTAAAGCCCAAGTTTTTAAAATAAGTACAATGGGACCCACTAAAAATTGAAAAGTAGAAAATCATTATTTGATTTAAATTTTTAAAAGCTCACTTTGGCTGTTTTGTGGAGAATGAAATTGTGTGAGCATATGTTTGTGTTTGTGGTTAAAAATGGAAGCAATGACCAGTCAGAGGGCTGTTAGAACCCTCTAGTCAAAGACAAGGGTGGCTTGGGTCACAGAGTGGTGGTGGAGATGGAGCCAAATGGATGGATCTGAAATATTTGGGGGAGATATATAATCTTCTGATATTCAGGATGAGGAAGAGTCAGGAATCAAAAATGATCACTTTTTTTTTTTCCCCACTTTTTTTTCTTTCTTTTTCTCTCCCTTAACTGGGTATATCATGGTACCACTTACTAAGATCGGGTTTGGGTCAGGATCAGGTTTCAGAGAGCGATCATATTCACTTTTAGATATCTAGCACCAAACCCATTACAAAATTTATGAATTCATCAAACATTGATTGAGCTTCACCATATGTCAGACATTGTCCTAGGTGTTGATAATATCTGGTGTCTTTATCCTTATGGAACTACAGAGGCGGTAGATTTCAGAGTGCTGAAATTTCTCAGGGACCATGGTTAGAAATGATCCAACCCAGCATTCTCATTTTAAAGATGAAGGGTAGAATTTGAACCATGTGATTTCTGTAGAAATACTAAAACTCCTTTTGGGGCACCTGGGTAGCTCAGTCGGTTAAGTGGCTGCCTTTAGCTCAGGTCATGATCCTCAGGTCCCGGGAGGGTCCTGGGGTCAAGCCCGGAGTCTGCTTCTCCTTCTCCCTCTGCCACTCCCTCCCCGCTCATGCTCTCTCTCTTGCTCTCTCTAAAATAAATAAATAAAATATTTTTAAAAAATACCTCCTCTATAAAAATCATGGTTACTTTAGTAAAACTTAATTTTATGCATCCTGCAATAGTTGTGGTATTATTTTCTCTTAGGGATATGATATAATTTGTTTTCATTCCTGTTTTAATGAATTGTTACAATCAGTACTATTAAAATACTTTCTGATGTATTCTGGAGTCATGAAAATATAAGCATTAAAGCCAAGAGTTCAGTGGATGATGCTCTTGGTGATTTCTCTGTACTTATAGAAGACGTAGGCAGGGAGAATCATGAATCATGTTAAAAATTAGTGGTGGAAATAAAGACTACAGAAGGACAGCTTGTTTTCTGAAATCAAGCAGAAAAAAATAAGAGCTCTGTGCATGAATATGCCAAACAGGAATATTCTCTGTTTTACGAATTAATATGTATTCTCCTATCCTCCTCAGAGACACAGGGTAAAGTCTGAACTTCTCACTTCCTGAAAAAGTGCTTAGAAAGAAACATCAGGAAGCCTTTGCCGGAAGCCTCAGGGACAGGAAATGTCTTTTATTTGTAACCACAGGTCCCCTGCTCTCCGGGAAAGCCACTTCCTCTGTTGTTACAGAGACACTTTCACTTCTCACCTGTCGATTCGTATTTTCTGTGATAGACTCATTTTCTTGCTATGTATAGTGTGTGTGTGACCTTAGGCTCCTTCACATGTAACCTTGAAAATTCTTCTTCGTGCAGCTGGAGTGCACCACTCACTCCTGGAGTTGAAGGAAACTCAACTGGCCAAGCAGGGTTTTGTTTGTTTGTTTCCTAGACTTTTTCAGCTGCACTAATTCCTGACCAACCAGCCAAAGAAACTCTCAAGGGGATACTTTGGGTGAATGGGGAGCAGATACATTTTGAGAAATTTTCACATGTGTAAAGCAAATGTCTTCCATTGAGGTTTTAAAAATAGTCCCTTTAAATTTTAACATGTGTCCGGCTAGTGTTTGCTCAGATAATCCCAGGCCTGCACACGCAGGCCCCAATCAGTGCAACCAGACACAGAGGCCCATTACCATGAGAATTATGTTTTTGTTGGTGGTTTTAGTTTATTTTCAAAAATTGCTTCTTAACACTTATCCTTTAGAACTTTCCCATTCTTTAGTTCTACTTAGGAAGAAAGGAATATTATCACCCAGCTGACTAACTCCTTAAAGGAAGACACAACAAACTTTCCCCAAGTTTTTCCCAGGCATGTTGTTGTCAGGTCTGTGGTTTGCTTCTAGAAATTTGGCAAGTATGTTAATATACATTTTTCACTCTTCCTGCTTTTTTTAAGGGACAGAAGTGATTTAGGAGGGAGTTGAATATGTCAGAGTACTTTATTCTTCCTTTTTTTCTTCTTGCTTGCTAAATAGGAAAGTTCATCAGCTTGATGATGGAGGAGAACAATGACTCCACCGAGAGCCCCCAACAAGGCCAAGGGCGGAACAATGCCATGAAGTGCGGGTGGCTGAGGAAGCAAGGAGGCTTTGTCAAGACTTGGCATACTCGCTGGTTTGTGCTCAAGGGAGATCAGCTCTATTATTTCAAAGATGAAGATGAAACGAAGCCCTTGGTAAGTAAGAGAAAATAAAAAGCACTGTGGTCATAAGCAAGCCAAGAGGTAGAGGGGTTTGCTAGAAACTGATGGAGTCTGAGGTCAACCCAATTTCCCTGGTCCCCTTCGGTTCATTGGCATCTTTCACACTTTTTCTCATTGTTTACTTTGGTTCAAGATGATGGACTCGCTAATTGAGGCCAAGAGGCTAATCATACTTGTCTAATATTAATTTTGACTTTTACTAAACTGGAACAGAATGTCTGAGTCCCTCAGGCATACTTACCTTATGAGAAATTTTAATGGACATCTGCTAGAAGCTATATATTGTAGCCAAAACATCTTTCCTTTTCTTAGAAGTCAGTTACAAGCACAGATTTGAAGGAAAACTATAAACACAACTTGCAGTAATTTTTGAGATACCTTCAGCAATCAGTTCCCGGGGGCTTCCTTCCACCTTAACTCACATAAAATATGGATATGGTGCTAAATGGAACAACATTGATACATCCAATCAGCATGCACAATATACTCTTCTGGGAATCGCTGTTGTGTCTTTTGTGGTTCCTTAGTGGCCTTGTATTTGCTTGTTCACTTATCATTTTCTCACCCACAAATCTCTAGGCTACAGTGAGTGAGAGGAAAAAATCTCCAGCTCTTCCTGTAGCTACAAAAAGCTTTCCTAGCTGTGATCATCAGAGGGAGATACCCCCTGAAGGATCCCCAGTGTGTTTTCCCTTCATCTATAGCTATAGGACATATAAATGAAAGAAGAAACATTATAGACTGAATGACATAAACATCCCCAGTGGTATGTTTTTGAGGCTATTTCCCTTGTGCTAAAGTTCAAGAACTTAATTAGGAATTTGGGTCAGGGCTCTGCTTTAGTATTTTACGTTCTCAGACATTATAATTTCACAAAGTTCTCATTTGTCTAGTTGAATTATAAAAAAATAGCAACAAATGCACATCCTATAAATATTTTTTGAAATTGCTACCACTTTTTAAGCATTTATTTATCAGGGCCAGGCATTAGACTATGAACTTATATATGTTATCTTATGAAATGTTTAAAATAATCCTATGAGGTAGGATTATCTCCATTTATGCATGAAGAAACCAAGGTTTAGGAATAATATGCATTACTCCATATTAGACAGTGGTGCCGTGATTTGCCTCCAAGTAAGTCCAACCTCATATATCCTTAGCCAAAGACCTCATAAATAAGTTACTAAGTGTATCCCATAAGGATTAATAAAAATATCATGACAGTTAATGGTGCATTTCCATACCAGTTCTTGCATTCGTCACAGCAAACCAGTGGGGAATGTGGGGATTAGCATTACAGATGCAGAAATTGTGGCTTAGTGATAGGAGGCAATGTGACCAAGATTGTATGGGCATTAGAGGCAAAGCAATAGAGTCTTTTTTCTCTTATCCTATACTCTAGGGCTCTTTTCTCATTGTACCTTGTTTTATACTATAGATTACATTATGGTATTATCTTGAATATAAAATCGTGTTTATCAAACTCAGAAAGGGATCAGGTTAATGTGAGAAAACAGAATATGGAGGATCCACTATGGGGACTTTGATATGGAGAAACACATGGAATAAAATGGAAGTATGAGTAAGATCCAGTGTTTTATCCCAGGGAGTCTTATTCTGGTATAGTCTGGCCACAATGGGTACAATTTAAAAGATTAATTAGGTAAGATCCTCCTGGATCCCCTAAACGGGGTGGGAGGGTGTCGGGGGTGGGGTAAGAAGAGCAGAGGATTCAGGAGCTGAGTGTGTGAAGATGGTGAAAGAAGATCAAACAAATGTTCTGACTCTTTGGTGAGCTTAGTGTTATCTTCTACTAATGAACGTGGGATAGAGTGGATCAGGCCCAAGTTCATTGTTTCTACAATCTGAGAATTTGCAGATGTCAGAGAATATGCACAGGAACCCCAGTCTGAGGAACTCTGCCCTAAGCTGCTCAAAGAGGATTTTATCATACAGCCTTGGCTATGCTATGTAATTTCTCTGTGTAGTTCCCCAGAAGGTCTACATAGTTACACATGGTCTTCAGTGCAGCATAGTTATTTTGCTAATAAATTGGAAATATAAATAAGAAAATGCAAAAAATTCTGATTAATGAAAATTGCCTCAAAATAAAAATCACTTTAATTCATAATATTTCTAAGATAAGTTGTATTTTGATATCATTATATTACCAGTGTTTCTAAACTTATAATAACTAAACTTAACAAAATAGAGTTCTGTTGACGAGAAAGTACTAATTCTCATACAAACCAAAGACAGGCTACTGTTATTTCCCCCAAAAAAGTTTCTTAATTTTCTTTCCAAATATTATTTGTTAATAAAGCAGTCAAAATATAGGGTAGGGGCACCTGGGTGGCTCAGTCGGTTAAGTGTCATGACTCTTGATTTCTGCTCAGGTCATGATCTCAGGGTTGTGGGATCGAGCCCCGTGTCTGGCTTCCACACTGGGCATGGAGCCTGCATAAGATTCTCTCTCCCTCTCCCTCTGCCCCTCCCCTCCTCAAAGATAGGGAGTAAATAACTTTGAATTATTATTATTTTTTATATCATCTTTCATGGCAGTTCAAACACCAGGAGTTTTGACATTGTGCTTTTTAATTTGAATTTTTTACGGTAGTGTTGAAATACATCCACAAAGAATCAGATTAAAAACTGACCATTTCTGTATTAGAGGGCACTTAGTAAATTTAAGGACCATGTATTTGCCTGTGAATGGCCAATTCCTTACTTAGAAGTAGTTTCTGGGGTGTCTGGGTGGCTCAGTCAGCCGAGCACCCAACTCTTGATCTCAGCTCAGGTCTTGGTCTCAGAGTCGTGAGTTCGAGCCCTGTGTTGTGTGAGCCTACTTTAAAAAAAAAAAAAAAAAAAGAGTTTCTTTAAGTGAAGGTAGATGCCTGGCACATTGTAAGTTCTGAAGCATATTTTTGAATGAGTTAGTGAGTCAGTCAGTGAAAGGTATCTATAGCCAGGAAGGGCAGTGCCAGTACCAGGTGCTGTGAATAGTATCGACCATTCTCAACCTCATATATCAAAGTCATAACTCAAAATCATAACTTAATATATTAAATCATAATCACTTCATGACAACAAAGTTTAAATCACATTAAGTAAATCTTTTTAAAGAATCATCTCAATGAAGAACAATTGAACATCTTGAAAAATGTTAAAACTGGGAAAAAAATATTTAGTTGTTATAAATGCCCTCCTTTTACAGATGAATAGTGTGTGTGTGTGTGTGTGTGTGTGCGCGCGTGCACACATGTGCGTGGGTGTATATATGTGTGTATTGGCCATGGGATATTGTTAATGACTGGCAGATGAGGAGCTAAAAACCAGATTTCCTTGCTCTTGATCCAGTGTTCCCTCAGCTTTGCTTTTTGCCTGCTCCTAAATCCTTAACTTTTCTTTAGATTTGCTTTCAATCAGAACTACTTCTTGCTTGTTTATTTTCAATATTGGTGCTTTCAAGCATAAGAATGCCCTTGGCCTTCATATATTTTGATGAGGCTTATTTCATTATTACTGGAGGGAACATAACTAATGAAATGAAAAATTCACCCTTTTAAGTATTCCTAACCAGCTAAAAACGTTCAATAAACTTATTCTGGATTTGTTTTTCTCTCTCTTGGAAGGCATTTCTAAAAGGAGAGTATTAACACCCTCGAAATGTGTGTTTCTCCTGTCCTAAAAAAAGGTTTTCAATTTATTTTAGTAAAACTTTAACTGAGCTTCTCCTCAACTCAATAAAGAGAATCAAACTCCGTATTATCCTTGTTATTAAAAACTACACATCTGTGGGGGAAACAGGTAAGCAAAATTATAATTGGGACAGATAATCATGTAAGCCCTGGATGGTCTAAAAACACAGATACAATTAATGCCAAGCAGTGAGTGATGATTCTGTGTAGAAGGGTTGAGGAAGGTGGCACAAAGCAAGAGGTGAACCTTACCTGGGGTGCTGAAGGTTGGGGGCAGTTTTCCAGGTAGTTAAACTGAGAAAAGAATTCAGAGGAGAGGAAAGACATAGAGTTGTAAAATAGACATCAATAGATAGCTCCATTTTGTGAGAGTAGTGAAGTGACAAGAAATGGGGTTCGAGTGATAGGTAGGCCCACAACATCAAGGGATGCATACGTTGTACAAAGAGACCTATTCTCTGGTACGTGATGGGAAGCTATTTCTAGAACACCTATGCTACTCAAGTTGCAGAACTGCATTAATCTGTTAGAAAGGAATAATGGCAGCCATGTTAAAAAAGTGTATTAGTTTGCTTGGACTGCCATAACAAAAAGGTGGCTTAAAGAACAAAAGTGTATTTTCTCATAGTTCTGGAGGCTGGAAGACCAGGATAAGGTTGGTCTGTGGTGAAGCCTCTCTTTCTGGCTTTCAGACAGCTGCTTTCCCTCTATGTCCTCCCATGCCTACTGCCTTGTGTACAGGAGCGTAAGAGAGCTCTGATATCTCTTCTCCTCTTGTAAGGACAAGAGACCTGTTGGATCAGGGCCCTACCCTTACAACCTCTTTTAACTTTAATTATCCCCAGGTATAGTTACATGGGCGTGAGGGGTAGGGCTTCAATATGTGAATCTGGCGGGGGGACACAGTTCAGTCCGTAATACCTAATACGTTGCAAACCTCTGTTAATGAATACAATTTTTTCAGTTAGGTTTTTCTTTTATCTGTACCATCACCTTTCATCTCTACTAGAACAATATATCTGGTTTCGTGCATTATACACTTAATTATTTGAACCTACTATTGGTGTCTTATGTTCTTATTCAAATTGCACCTTGCCTTCTAAACACCACAACCTGCACAAGTTTGAAAACTTAGAAAGTCTCACTGCCACTTTTCTTGTATTTTCTTTTTGAGCAAAGGCAAAAATACCTGTAAGTTCTCCTCTCTCTGGAGACAGTGCCTGGTTTGTAAACAAGACTTTCCACCCCCGATCAGGGTTCCTTGGGCAAAAT